ATTGAGGTTTATAAGATTATGCATGGGAAAGAGCAGGTAGAGAAAGAGGTACTTTTCTCCCTTTCTCACAATACAAGAACTCGTTGGCACTCCATGAAATTGCTGAGCGGTCGGGTTAGAACGGATAAAAGGAAGTACTTCTTCACTCAAAGAGTGATTAACACTTGGAATTCACTGCCACAGGAAGTGGTGGCGGCTACAAGCATGGACGGCTTCAAACGGGAATTAGATAAGCATATGGAGCAGAGGTCCATATTCTTCACCCAAAGAGTGATTAACACTTGGAATTCACTGCCACAGGAAGTGGTGGGTGCTACAAGCATGGACGGCTTCAAAAGGGAATTAGATAAGCATATGGAGCAGAGGTCCATCAGTGGCTATTAGCCACAAGGTAGATAGGGGCTCTGGGGCAAGAGTGATGCTCTGTCTTCTTGGTGCTTTGGGGGGGGTCAACAGTGGGAGGGCTTCTAATGTCCTGGCCCCACTGGTGGACCTCCTGATGGCACTGGTATTTCTGGCCACTGTGTGACACAGAGTGTTGGACTGGATGGGTCTTTGGCCTGATGTTCATATGTTCATAGGCCAGGTGAGTGTGAGCTGGCTGGTTCCCCATGCAACTGCATTGGAAGACCCTGTCAGGACAAGGCATCCATGGCTGAGGCTGGCATGGCATTCACGCCCGGTTGCCATGGCTCGGCTTTTCTGTCTTGCAGGTGGAGATTCATCAGAAAGACTTGTGGGCGTGGCAAGCAGCCAGCTACACTTTTCTCCCTGCAGTGTAACTTGCCACTTAGAATACAGACTAGTGCCACCAACGTTACAGGGCAGCCGCCCACTTCAGTGCAGGCGCAACTCAGGATTGCTCTGTAAAAGTTCACTTGCCAAGTTTACAGCCCTGTCTTTTTCTCTAGTATGATGACACAGTTTCTCCTTCTATCTCCACAATAAAAATTACTAGAAACTTATTTTCCAAACAAAATTAAATGCTAAAAGTTCAGGTTAACTACTAGATAGTGGCAGTACATTGTAGTAATGTGTCAAACTCTGCTTTAGTTTGCCATGGTTGCAGGGGGAGGGAAATTCCTAGGGGTGGTGAATGGCTGAGTGTGAACCACGCTATCATAGGCATTGTAACTCTTCTTTAAGATACCTCCCTCCTCGAGGGATGACCTTGAGACTGAAGCTGTGCCAGCTTGCTATTGTAGATAATGGGATCATATATTCCCAGGTGGGAGGGTAGTGAACGCAAGAGCTAGGTGGGATGGCCACGATTGGCTATTCGGGGGGGGGGCTGTTTGAACTGTCTATATCTCTGAATTCTCCCACCAGAACCTCAGTTCTGGTACTGTTCTAGCCTGGATCATGATGATATTTCAATAAACAAACCACTGCTAAGGAGAGTGTTGTTGGGAGTCTCTTGTCCATGAGTCTTGTCCATGAGACTTTGTGTTAAAACTCCCTTTTTCCCTTTGACCGTCGCACCACCGCCGTGATGGCTGACAAAGACACAGATGGGCATTGGGTCCAAACCTGAGCTCCCAGACGACAAGGAAGAGAAGCTGGCTGGCCCCAAACCCAAGAAGCACACGGTGCACTGGGACATGGGGGCCAAGCCCAAAGACCACCGGAGCAGTCGTAACTGGTGGGACAACTCGGCGTGGCTCGTGAGCAGTTCCCGGGTTTAGGGGTGCAACGGCATATGGGGAATGAGAAGGCAGATGAGCCTCCCACACCTTCCAAGATGATCTCAAATGCCTAAAAGTAATGGAGGCACTGGGAGAAGAGACCACTGAGAGGGTGCATGCAGAGCTCAAAGTGGAGCTGAAGGAGCTCAAGGAGGGCCTCCAAACCCTCACTGAGAACCTCCCAACAGTTGTTAAAGAACTCATGCAACAGGGAGCTGAAGAGTCTTAAGAGGAGACGGATAAGGAGAAACAGCGTAGACAGCTACCGGGGGCCCCTCTTCTTCCTCCCATGATGCCCGTCCAAGACCAACAGCGACCCTGAGATGTCCTAGAGGCGACGTTCGATGGCAACCCTGAGAAGCTAGCCTTCTTTGTGCTGCAAGTACAGAAGTCCCTGATAGAGTGGGGCCACACCTTCGCCTCTGATGTGGTGTTGTCCCCATGTGGGCTATGTGGGGTCATGGCTGTGAGACCAGGCGGTTTGTGGGCCTATACAATGTTGGGGCCCCGGAACCGCATAATGGGGATGCCTGCATGCAAGCACTGAGTCACCAATACAAAGACCCCCTGGAGCTGAAAAAGGCGCGGACCCGTCTCTGGGGCCTGAGGCAAGGGGTTTGGTCGGTGGAAGAATACTCAGATGAGTTCAAGCCCTACGTGGCCAAAGTACAAGGATGGCCTGAAGAGGTCCTTATCGAGTTCTACTGGGCCGGGCTGAATACTACGATCTTGGAGAAGGCTCTGGCCCAAGACAACCTATTGACAGCAGCTGGATCCAGGTGGCCTGCAAGGCAGAGAACAGGTGCAACTTGGTGCCCCTGTACCAATACAAGATGCCAGGGAAGGCATCCGGGGACTCGAAGACCCAATGCGAAAGGGGTCCAATGACCGGAGGTGACCGAGAGCAACGAATGCCGCTGGGGTTGTGCCTGAGATGTGGGGTGGCGGGGCACTTCGCCGCAAACTGTCTGGAAAGTAAGAGCCCTGAGAAGGCGCGCAAGGAGGAGGTCAAGGTGAAGAGGCCCAAGTTCTGACACGGTACTGTACTAGCCTGGACCATGATGACATCTCAATAAACCAATCACTGCTAAATAGAGTGTTGTTGGGAGTCTCTTGTCCAGGAGTCTGATGTGATGTTATTCCAATATTCTGGTCAAGCAATTGCTTATTAATTTTAAAAAATGCTGGAAAAAACCTTGCCTGAGTATGAGAGACACATGACAGGTTACTTAAAAGCTCTTGTTACATATTGCCTGTTGTGAAGATAACCTGGTTTATGGTGTTCTGCTTCCCTTCATTATTGGCATTGCAACTTCCATAATCATTCTGGGGTTGGTGGCCACTTTTCAGACATGTAGCATTGTTGTCTGCTGAGTTATGCTTGCCTAAACAGAGACCCTTAGCTTCCATTGCAAATATTGGGGGGGGGGGTAGATAACCTGAGCCAGGATATTCCCATACCTTTCATTTTTGGCCCTGGAACACCCACAATCATCCTAATGCCAGTGGCCAATTTTGAGTCTCCTACATTTATTCTCTGATGAGTTTCCTATGGCACAAATGGACAGATGGGCCAGTTATTTTATTACTATAGATTCCTGGTAACAACAAGCCAAGTTGTTTGTTTTGTCATGATATTTGTTTTGGATCAGGGTCATATGGGGGTGGCAGGTAGAATCTTTGCCAGGGGGCCCATGGTGGCTCTCGGCAGTCCTGCCTGAAGGTTGACAACCCTACTAGATGCACTGGGAGGGAGCAACATGAGCTCCAGTAGGACCACAGGTGCCTTAGGTATTCATTTCCCCTTGGGCCCCACTGTCAGCTGCATAGGCCAGTCACAGCTCTCTCAGAGCTCTCTGAGCCCTACCTTCCTCACAGGGTGCCTATTGTGGGGACAGGAAGGGAAGGTTACCGTAAGCAACTCTGAAATGCCTTCAGGTAGTAAAGGGCGGGGTATATAACCAACTCTTCTTCTGTTCAGCAACCGTATTGGGACTGCTGACTCCTGTCTATTTTTACTCTTGTTGTCCCTTGGACAGCCAGGTCTTCGCTTCTGAAGCAACCTGAATTCAGCTTCTTTGAACAGCTTCCCCTATTAAATGTGAACGCTCACTTCATGATTCATGAAGAATCATTAGGGAAGACGCTTTCTCAGAAATATCATAGCAAATATGCATGGCTTTTGTTAGTTGCATGCATTTGGGAGGGGGGCTATATCAGAAACTAGGTGCTGGGCTGGCCGAAGTAAACCATGGAGACGTTTCCTGTCGAGAGCGTTCTGGTGACCGGTTCTGATCGCGGAGTTGGGCTGGGGCTGGTCACTCGGTTCCTGGAGAAACAGGACCCACCAGAGTGGATTTTTGCCACTACCCTGGATCTCGAAGGGTTTCATGGGAAGGTAAGATTGGTCCAGCAAAACGATGTGGGGAGCGGTGGGATGGCTGTGAGAGAGGAGGTGAATTTATTGGTTTTATTGTATTTTAACTTGTGTAAGCCACCTTGAGCCAGTTTGCACCAGCAAGGTGGGATACAAATTGAAGGTAAATAAATAAAGAAATAATAAGGTGTCAGTCAGTGTTAGACCAGTGATGAGAATTCAGTTTATGCCAGAAGCGAAAGAATGCCAACCCAGTTCTGTATTCTTGGGGAGAGGGGATGATTTTGGCCTTGTTTTCTCAAACAGGAAAACATTTTTGCAGTGGAGGGGAATTCCAAAAACGCTTCATGAAAGGGATTGCAAGAGGGCAGAGGACAAAGCTGCTTTTAAAAAATTGTTTGAGATACACTTAAAGTAGCTAATTGAATCCTGGTGTAAATTATCTTTTTCCTAAGTGTGATTGTGTCATTATACCCCTTCAGCAAGGCCAAATAGTTTGTAATCCAAGTTTTGTTTTTTACTTATTTTATAGGCTGTATTTCTCACAGAGAATTAACACAGCTTCTGCTAAGCTGTGAAGGTAGACATCGAACAGTACAATCTTAAGCAGAGTTACACCCTTATGAGTTAATTGAAGTCAATGGTCTTAGATGGGTATAACTTTGCTTACGATAGCACAGCAAATCTTCCCACAAGTATATTTTAAATAATACTTCCCTTCCCACTCTCAGTCCCCTACCCTCAATAATTTGAGAAGCAGGAGGGGGAAAAATAGGGGATGACATTGATCGTGATGCTCTAGGAATTTCTCTCAATCTGTATGGTAAAGAGCATAGACATGGGGGGGATTCCTAGAGTGTCACCCAGAAGTGACATTATGTCCATTGCCCCTCCACCTGAAAGTGTCATCAGAAAAACACACACAAGCTTGAACCCGTGACCCCTTCCCATAGAGATCAGAGGACTTAGTTCATACTTCATAAGTGTATGTAAGGTGGGAGTGCCCCAATGAGTGGTGACATAACAAGCTGCTCCTAGGCAGGTGACTGATGAGGAAAATAGGGGAAGAAACAGAATGGGTTTGCAGAATCAGCAACAGGTGGTGGGTCCCCAAAGTGGAGTGGCCAAGAACAGTGGCCCAAGCTAGGAGTGGAAGAAACAAATGCTTTTGGAGGTGAGCCATTGAGTAATAAAGGAAAAACAATCACTCCAGAAATGTTTTTAAGGGGGAATTGAGGACACTTAGTAGAAATCTGTATTGTGTTGTTGGGGTGAACGCACTGACAAACACATTTCACAAGCAAACATTTCTTGGTCTGGATGTGTCAGTTTGAAAGGGCTGGAGTTTTGCCCACCCCTGGAACGTGAACTGTTGTTCTTTTTAGGAGCACTCAAGCACTAATGTTTTTTATTTCTTTCCAGAAGTTAAGGAGACTGGCGTCGAGTCACCCAAACCTTGTTGTGCTGCAGCTGGGTATGTGTTTCTTTGATTCCAATAATATTTTGTGGCCTCAGTGTTCCCTCTAAACTGAGTTAGTGTGAGCTAGCTCAAAGATTTTTAGCCTCTGGCTCACACATTTTTGTCTTAGCTCAGGAAAGATGGCTCCAGAGCAAACTAATTTATGTAGTAGTCACATTGCTCGCTCGCAACTTTAATGCCAGTAGCTCACAAAGTAGATTTTTTGTTCACAAGACTCCACAGCTTAGAGGGAACATTGTTTGCGGTGATGCTGGATGGAAAAAAATTCTCTTCAGTGCTACTGTTTCATAGTTAGCACCACAGCAGGGGTCCACGCAACATGCCCAGTCAGATGGATTATTTAGTGAGACCACAGGAGGCATTGACAGCCAGCTGGTGCTCACTTCACGGTTGCAAAACTAGCCACAAATTGGCTGCAAGATAAGCACACTAACCTTTGTGAAATTGTGTGTACTTTATGAAGTAGACAGATAATTTCGTCACCCAGCTATCAGCCACCTGCCAGAACACACCCTTCTTGCATACATAGATTTAATTTTATTGATTGGAAGTACCAATGTCCTGCTTGTCAGAAACAATTTCTGTTCAAGTTATCAAAAATGGAAAACAATCCTCCAATAACATGCAAAATCAAACAAGTGAAATTATGACTAGTTAGAACTAACATCATTTCAAGGGGGTGGGGTGGGGGAGAGCTCTTATGACAAGTGGGTTCAGCACCTGAAGGCTTGCTTGCTTATTTATTTAGTTAGATTTATTAGGTCACCTTTCCCTGCAAACACGGCTCAGGGCAGCTTACAACAGAGCAAGTACAAAAGTACAGAGCAGAACAATTCAAGATAAAACCAATGTTAAAAATACCGATAAAATGGGCCACAGTGTATTTGATAGTCTTATAGGCAGTGGCTGCTAAGCGTTTTTATGTGGGCGTATCTTAAAACATCTTCATTGGTCCCGGTCACACGAGCGGGATGATCCACTGCCGAAGGGAGGCAAATCAGAGACAGAGGAAAAAGAACCACGGGAGCACAATCCGACGTGCCCCTGCGGCTCTGTGCTCCCTGCTCTGGCTGCCAATCACACATTGCGCAGCAAACCAGCAGTAGCGTGGTTGTGCGCATGCGTGGGATGGGGAACAGCGCTGGCTGCGATGGGCTACCAGCGCTTCCCCGACCAGATGCCTTCCGTTGCCGCGCATCATCCGGTAGGTACTGCTTTTTTGCCAGTACCTTTTTGATGCATGTTTGTGGGTTGAAGGGACAGATCAGGGACGGGTGCGCGCCGCTTCCCAGATGTTGCGGTGTGATCGCATCCGCTTGATGAGCTCCCGATCTGTCCCTCTTGCAGATCAAATCCTCCCGTGTGACTGGGCCCATTATGTTACATGTTAATTTGCTGCTCAGCCTCTGTCTACAAGTTTGACCTTCCATTCCAATGTATTTGAAAAAGTGTGCCTGCACATGAAAACTCATACCTTGAATAAACCTTTATTGGTCTTAAAAGTGCCACTGGACTCTAAATTTGTTCACGTGGGACCATGTTTAAGCTCATGTTGTTTTCAGGGTTCACCTGCAAAGCAATCCCAATGCTGCTTTCCCCCTCCACAAGGTAAAATGCAAGATGTTTACAACATCTGACACCAGACAAGTTTATATTTTGTGTTCCACCTTTAATATTCATAGAGTGTGTCACTGAGCAACAGGCTGCAATTCATGGCTACTTCACAGAACAAGCAGAGGTCAAATCTAAATTTACCGCTGTCTCTCTCCAAGGCCTCGCTCTGTTCTGTCTCCTTCTCCTCCCTCCTGGCTTTCCAATGCTCCCTCTAAGCTGTGGAGTCTTGTGAGCAGAAATTCTATCCCTCTATGGGGTAGTTAAAAAAATGTAACCTTCCTAAGACCCACTCATACCTCACATTTACACCGCCTAGCTCCAGCATCTCTTACCACCCTTTCACATGGGAAATATCCAATCCTATTATCTACTGAGCAAGCTGGCACCAGAAGGTTCAAGGACATTCCTCTGTGAATCAGAGAAAGGTGTCTACATAGGAGTTATGCTTCTACTATAGTGGAGTCACACACTCCACACTCACTCCCCCCACCTAAGGTATTCTGCTCTCCCAGTGAAAAGTACACAGACAGAGAGTGACTTCAGCAAAGCATACTTTATTCAATCAGGAACGAGACACCTTGGCCGGCTCGCAGGCTGGCTTATATTTCCCACAAAACCGCCACCCAAAACACACACCCATTTCCCCATAGGTTATTTACAGTGGCCGAGAGTCCCGTTGGCTCTCGGCCCGGGACCTAGCCCTCTGATTGGAGCAGGCTAGCATCCGCTTAGTCCATTGTCTTTTAGGAGTGAAGCTCAATGTTTGTCTCTGGATAAGTCCTGAATTGTCTGGGTACATTACACCCAGTGTCCATAGCAAATGGAGCAAAGCAAGGTTTGACCCTGGGCCTCCGTCCTGCTCCTGGTAAGTCTTCCCCTCATGCCCTGCCAGTTGCCAGGGGGGATCTGGCAACCCTAGTACCAGGCCACTGTGTGTAACAGGATGCTAGACTAGACTGACCACTGGTAGGATCCAGCGGGGTTCTTCTGATGTTCTTATGCATCTCTGCCTGTCTTAGACAGTCTTCCACCCACCACCCACTGTACTCTTTGGTTGAGCCCACGTTTAATCCAGCCTCAGGACCACTGCTTCTAGATCTGCCAAGGACATTTTGCTGGCTCAAAAGGTAGGACCCAGGATTCCTTGCAAAGTCGCCAAAGATTCCTGAGCCAGACTCTGGAAATGTGGGGAGCTGTGTGCCTTCCAGGACATTTGCAACGGGTTCTGTGGCACAAATTTTGGCTATCTGAGGAAGTGAGCAGTGTTGCTCGTGAGAGCTCCTCCCCCTGCCACAGATTTTGTTAGTCTTTAAGGTGCTGCTGGACTCTTTTCTACTGCTACAGAGAGACTAACACGGCCACCCATCTTGATCTACCTTGGTTTATATGTGGCTTCTTTGGTCCCACTAGCAGTAGAGCTGCTCACCTTGAAGGACTGCTTACCCAGGGCCCAGTCACACGGGAGGATTTGATCCGCAAGAGGGACGGATCGGGAGTGCATCAAGCGGATGCGATCACACCGCAACATCTGGGAAGCGGTGCACACCCGTCCCCAATCCGTCCCTTCGACCCACAAAAGAGCAGTGCCTACCGGATGATGCGCGGCAACGGAAGGCATCTGGTTGGGGAAGCGCTGGTAGCCTGTCACAGCCAGCGCCGTTCCCCATCCCACGCATGCGCACAACCACGCTACTGCCGGTTTGCTGCGCAATGTGTGATTGGCTGCCGGAGCAGGGAGCACGGAGCCACGGGGGTACGTCGGATTGCGCTCCCGCGGTTCTTTTTGCTCCGGCTCTGATTTGCCGCCCTTCGGCAGCAGGTCATCCAGCTCGTGTGACCGGGACCCTAATCTCTTTTGCTTCTCTCCAAATAGATATCCGGGATCTGAAGAGCATAGAGGCGGCTGTGCAGAAGGTAGAAGAGCACGTGAAAGGGAATGGGCTGACTCTGCTCATAAACAATGCTGGCATTTTGGTCAAATTCACCTTCTTGGCCACTGAGACAGCAGAGAACATGGCACGTCTGTACAACACAAACACCATTGGGACCTTGCAGGTCAGCCAGGTAAGCAGCTTTACAAGCCCAGAGCTTTACAAACTGACAGCCTAAAGCGAGGGTGGGGGGAGTTCATACGGGTGCAGGATTCGGCATAGTAGCCTGGTGCCCCTCATGCTATTCCGACTGAGTGGCTGCTGCAGACCTTTTCTGCCCTTTGCTCTTGTACTCTTTAATTTCAGTTAATTTTTATTTGATTTTGTTGAGAGAGCCAGTATGTGGTGATTTGGGAGGCCCATGTTCAAATTCCCACTCTGCCACAGAAGCTTGCTGGGTGACCTTGGGTCAGTCACACATTCTCAGCCTAGCCAACCTCACAAGGATGATGAAGCAAGTAAACAAATAGAAAAGCAGGTTTAAAATGTTCTAAATAAAAAAAGAATACATTTTATGAGTGTCACCTCTTCCTGGACTGGAGCAGCAGAAGCCTGATAATGTATGTGTCCCCATTCTGCAGTGACTACTGCCCACCACTGGGGGTGCTGTGGCTGCAGCCCTGGTTGCCTCAGAGAGCATCAGCAGCCAGGCTCCATGGATGGATTCAGACTGGCTACACAAACTGTCCAACTGTCTGACAGCCTAACCTCCCATCAGCCTGCCCCAAAATACCATGGGTGGCACGAGGGGCCCAGCAACAGTCATTTACCAAAATAATGCTGTTCCACTACTGAAATGAGGAGGAGGAGAGTTATATTTATACCCCGCCCTTCACTCGGAGTCTCAGAGCAGCTTACAATCAACTTACAGATGTTGAAGATATATGCATAGTGGGAGATTTCAATGCAGTAACTGACACAGGTACAGACAGGAAAAACCCCAGGGGAGACCATAGGAAGGGAGGAACTTTGTCAAATAATTTTATGCAGATAATAGAAGAGTACAATCTAATGGATGTCTGGAGGGTAAGAAACATAAATAAGTCGGACTTCACATTCTACTCGCCTCGTCACGACTCGTGGTCTAGAATAGATATGATTTGGATGTCTACAAACATGATCAGGGAAGTGACGGAATGTGAAATTTTACCTAGGACTTTTGCGAATCCTATCTTGGTGTCAATAAAGGAAGAACAAAAAAAGAATAGAACATCTATAAACATAAACTTGCTGAGGGATCCGGCCTTTGTAGAAAGTTGCAAAAAAGAAATTATAGAATTTTTCCAACTAAATTTATCTACGGAAACCTTGTTAGAAATAATTTGGGACGCATTTAAGGCGTTTATAAGAGGGCGATTTATTAGCCAAAATGCGTGGAAATGTAAACAGAGAAAAGAGAAATACGACCAATTAACCCAACATATTAAACAACAAGAAAATATAGTAAAAAACTCTAAAGGAGAAGGAAGTGCAAAGATTAAATTAAATCTTTTACATCATAATTTAAACAATTTACTAAACTATGAAATAGAGAAAAAAATAGAATACACCAAACAATATTACTTTGAAAATTTAAATAAACCCAACAGGTGGCTAGCCTATAAAATTAAGAAAGAAAGAGAGAAATGTACGATAATTAAGCTAAGGGACAACAATGATGAAGAAAAATGCAATATACAAGACTTAAAGAAGATAGTGGAAAAATTCTATAAAGAACTTTACCAACAAAACACATCAAACGGAACCGGAATTTCAGAATATATTAGAAGCAGAACAACAAAATTTAATACACACCAGAGGAAAATACTGAGTGAACCTATAACTCCGTGTAAAATCGTGGAGGCAATTAGAAAGCAAAAAAAGAAAAAAACGCCAGGTCCAGATGGTATACCGGCAGAATTCTATCAGATTTTTGAAGAACAGTTATGGACGCCCTTTAAAGAACTTTACCAAAAAGTAGGAACAAATTCCAAAATACCAGAATCTTGGAACCATGCCCTGATTACCTTAATACCAAAACCAAGTGTTGATAAGAGCGACATTAAAAACTATAGACCTATATCTCTCCTCAACGCTGATTACAAAATATTTACTACAATAATAGCAGGCAGATTAAAAAAAGTTTTGACAACCATGATACATCAAGATCAAACGGGATTCTTACCCAAAAGGCAAATGAGAAATAACATAAGGATTATAATAGATGTACTAGAATATTACGAAGAGCATCCGGAGAAGGAGTTAATGTTAATGTTTCTAGATGCAGAAAAAGCATTCGACAACCTGTCATGGGACTTTCTATTACAAAAATTACAAGCAGCAGATCCAGGACAAGAATTCCATAATACAATAAGAGCGATATATAAACAACAATATGCAAAAATAATAATAAACGAAGACTTGACGGAAACCATAGGGATTCAGAAAGGAACTAGACAGGGTTGTCCGTTATCACCGCTTCTTTTTGTATATGCAATAGAATCACTTAATGATGACATAAGAAACAACAAGTTTATAAAAGGGTTGAAAGTGAAAGGAAAAGAATTTAAATTACAGGCCTTTGCAGATGACCTGGCATTCATAATAGAAAATCCCAAAGACTCTGTAGAAGATCTGATAAGAACGATACACCATTATGGACAGGTTGCGGGCTTAAAAATTAACTATAAAAAATCTAAAATACTGGTTAAGAATTGTACTCCGAATACAATAGAGTGCATCCTAGAGCGTACCAAGATGGAAATAGTTAAAAAAGTTAAATATCTGGGAATACACATGACAAATAAAAATAATGCATTAACTGAAGGGAACTATACGAAACTCCTGAAAGATATTAGATTGGATTTGCAGAAGTGAAATGCTATCCCGTTATCCTTTATGGGTAGGATAGCGTTGGTTAAGATGAATGTACTACCTAGATTTTTATATCTGGCACAAAATATACCTGTGCTAAAAAAACAAAACTTTTTTGAGGATCTCAATAAGGCCACCAGACAATTTGTATGGCAACATAAGAAAGCCAGAATTAAATGGAAGGTGCTTCAAGATAGCAAAGAAAGAGGAGGATTGAGTGTTCCCAATTGGCATATATATTATCAAGCGGCTGCCCTAGTATGGATAAAGGATTGGATAAATCTTGAAAATACAAGACTATTAGCTATAGAGGGACATGACCTCAGCATGGGGTGGCACGCATACATATGGTATGGGAAAGATAAGATCCACTCAAACTTCGGTAGACACATATTAAGAGGTGCGTTGAATAAAGTATGGGTTAAAACTAAAGAGATATGGTACAAGAAAACCCCAAGATGGGTCGCTCCTTTGGAAGCATTTATTATACCCTCAGCGATAACGATGAATTTGAAGGAAAGCTATCGAACATTATTAAATAAAAGAAATGAGTTAAAAACAGAAGAAAAACTTAGAAAGGAAAATCACTTATCATGGTGGGAGCTAATAACACTAAGAGATAGATTTAAGAAAGACGCGACAAGAGGCTTTGAGGACCAAAACAATGAACTGGATAAAATATGGCTGTCCTCAAACGATAAATTGATCCAGAAAATGTACAATGTACATCTAAGAGAATTTATGAAGGTTGAAGAAGTTAAAAATGTAATGATCACCTGGATGAATGATATAGGGGAAATTGAAAAAGAGCAGTGGGTGGCGATGTGGAAAACTGTTAAGTATATGAAAGCGGTCGCGTATAAAGAAAATGTATATAAGATGTTCCATAGATGGCACTGGGCACCCGTTAAATTGGCTAAATGTTACAGGGGATATTCTGACAAATGCTGGAAATGTAAAAGTTGTAAAGGAACGTTTTACCATATGTGGTGGGATTGTAGTACGGTACAAAGATTCTGGAAAATGGTTAGAAAAATACTGCAAGAAAGTTTAGGTATTAATGTAGCACTGAAACCAGGAATTTACCTGCTAAACATGATTCCAAATGGTTACAATAAACAGGACGCATATATAATTAGTTATATCATAACAGCAGCCAGATTATTGATAGCACAAAACTGGAAATCGGAAAACTTACCTACCAAAGCAGACTTGGTAAATAAAATACTAGATCTAGCAAGAATGGATGATCTAAGTTTAAAGTTGCAAAATAAAAACGAGAGGGTACACAAAAGGAGATGGGATAAGATATATAATTGGATAGAGCTCCAAACAGAAATGTAACTAGAAAAGATAGATTAAGTATTAGCAACAGTGAATGTTATATTACCAACAGATAAGGTTATTAACTGAAAATGTTTGACTCTGATCTGTAAATATGATGATGAACCGTGGATATGTCTATTATTTTATTCAAAACAAAAAAAAAACTTAAATACAATCTCCTTCCTTTCTTCTCCCCACATCAGACACCCTGTGAGGTAGGTGGGCGCAAGAGGGCTCTGACAGAACTGCTCTAGAGAGCAGTTCTCAGAGAACTGTGACTGACCCAAGGTCACCCAGCTGGCTACATGTGGAAGAGTGGGGAATCAAACCCGGTTCTCCAGAGCAGAGTCCGCCACTCTTAACCACTACACCAAACTGGCTCTCACACCACTCTGGCTCACACCAAACTGTAAGGGCAAGAGAAGAGAGGGAAGAGAGGACTTTGATATGCTACTAAATATGGACATACTTTTTAAATAAAAGGAAGTCGTGTGATCCTTCCCACAAAACTGAGGCATGGACATAAAGGGGTCAACAGAGACTGACGTGTGGTCATTTCCGTAATATATAGCCAGAATAGGGTCCATTTTACTTATTTATTCACTAGATTTCTCTCCTGCCTTTCTGCCCTTACAAGGGTCTCCAGTGCAGCTGACAATTTACAACATACATGATAGAATCATTGCATCATATGATAAAAATGATAAAACCATTGCATGATAAAATCTTGCATCATTAAAACAATTAAATAAAATCCACACAAAACATAAAAACAGCAATTAAAATATTGGTTAGGAAGGAGAGATCATTGAGAGAATAACAAAAGAAACAAAAAAGTCTTTACCCACTGGCAGAAGACGGAAACAGAAAGGGACAGATGAATCTCCTTGGGGAGAGTTCCAGAGCTTTGGTGCCAAGACTGAGGAGGCCCTTGTTATGTACGCAAACCGCCACTAGGGGTCCGCGGCACAGGCAGGAGCTTGGCTCCATCGAACAAAAGAAACATTGGATCCTAGTCCCCCCAGTCCCAACCAGTAGCCACTTTGGCGGGAAATTCAAATCCTCCAATGGACTAAGGGTGTGCTGGGTGGGTGTGTATATAGTTGGCCTTGCAGGGCCGTTGTAGTTAGTATTGTGTTAAGTGCAATAAACATGTGCAATGCATGTCGTCGTCCGAGTCCTCCATGCAGCGAACCCAGTACTTTTCAGCCCTGTCCCAGGTTGCCACCCACCTAATCCCCTAATTGGTGCTGTTATAAAAATTACATGTAGCCACATAAGTGATGTGATTTTCACATGAGAGCCAAGAGTTGCTCCATGAGCACGGTTGGAAGACATGAAAACAGCACAGGGGGGTAAGGCTGAAGCCTCTTTTCCCCATGTATGACCATCACAAACAGAAAAGGGCCATCATGAGGCAATTTGGTGTAGTGGTTAATATTGGGGAAATTGGCAAAATAGTTAAATATTCAGAGATTGCAATGGATCTTTGCTTCGCTGGAGAGGAAGCATTTTCTTCTATGTAAAAATCTTTATTTCTAAGGGAAGGGTTTACAGGAAGTCTACAAAACAATAGACACCAAAGACTGCATCTTTACACTTTGACCACATGGTCTACAATAATGGAGATTCTTCTTCTTCTTGATCCCTAGAAGGAAATCACCTGAATGCATTAACCAATGATTGTTAGTAAATAGGCTTCAGTTTCCCGGGCTTTCTTCCCATTGGCTTTCTGCCAGGTTCCCTTCCAGGTCAGTCTAAACAATAGCACACAAGGTAAACACACATTAACCCTATAATGACTGAATCTTAGACCTTGCAACACACATATTTCCAACAGTTTAAGTGCGCGGACTCTAATCTGGGAGAACCTGGTTTGATTCCCCACTCCTCCCCTTGCAGCTGCTGGATGACCTTGGGCAAACCATAGTTCTGATAAGAGCTGTCCTTAAAAGGACAGTTCTCAAAAGAGCTCTCTCAGCCCTACCTTCCTCACAGGGTGTCTGTTGTGGGGAGGGGAAAGGAAAGGAGTTTGTAAGCCACTCTGAGACTCCGAGTGAAGGGCAAGGTATAAACCCAATATCTTCTTCTTCCTCTTCCTCTTCATTTGGGAGACACAAAACTACCCTTGCACGTTTGAGCAAAAGCCCTCATGTCATCCACTGACAAACACAAGGGCTTTGTAATGTGTGGCGAGGGCCTAGTTAGTTCTTCAGGGTTTGCAGACTGGCTGCCAGTTGGGAGAATGTATCTGTCTAACAGACTCTGGGTGGGATTCTCTCGAGGCACTGCCCTTGCTGAAGACTGCTGCCCTGAGAAGTCCCAAGGAAGGCCTGAGCTGCAGTAAAGCCGCGATTGTCAACATCTCCAGTGACTTCGGCTCTATTGAGAAAATGGCCGGGTGGTGTCTCTCGCAAGTTGTCTCCTATCGTTGTAGCAAGGTAAGGGTGAATCAGGGCATACAGGGCAGAGCCGTTTCATTAATATGTGGAATAACTTTGCTAATGTGCCAAATAATAGTTTGTACCAGTTTACACAACATTTTATGAATTAATTAGCTAGTTTGTGTCATAACCAGTTTTTGTGTGGGATATCGGTTGAAGCCTATTTAAATGTGTGCAAGAGAACATTTGGGACTCTGTATTTTATTTCTTTGAAATATTTATTAATGGTACTGTCCACAAGATGCTCCAAGTGCTTTATTGTTTATTATTTAAAATAAAAGAGGAAAGTGTCATAAAACCGAAAACAAATTCAATAATGGCCATTATTACTAAAACCAATAAAAGCAGAAGAGGCAGAATAAGGGGAGTGGTAACCTTGAAGTTGTGACCTAAAAACAAAGGTGACAGCCCCCCTATGCCATTTAGCAGGTGTCCTGTTTCACACCCTTTGTCCTAGAACTCTTTTCCTCTCCTAGGAGGAATTAACATATGACCATATGACTTGGAGGCCATTTTTTCTAGGAGGTGGGGTGACCCAGTTATAGGTCCTTAGTGGCCTGACCCATAGGAATGGGTTTCAAGTTAAGTCTGTGGCATATTCTGGCACTTCCCCAAGGAGGGTTTTCTCAGGATTGGTTCAGGGGGACCATGTGACCCCTCTATGTACTCACACTGCACTACCCCCAACCAACTGGTGCTGGTTTCAACCTTTTGAAGGCATTGGATTCAACCCTTTGACATAAGAGGGTGCTGAGTGACATTACACAGTTCCCCAAGATTAGCAAGGTGGTCATGTGGCCCCTCCCAAAGCACACCCTGCTACCCCCTAACCAATTGTTATACGTTTCCAGCCAGTGCTGTGGTTTTCAACCTTGTAGCATGGATAGGTAAGTTTAGGGGAGGGACTACAGCTCAGTGGATGAGCCTCTGCTTTGTACACAGAAGGTCCCAAGTTCAGTCTCCAACATCTCCAGTTTAAAAGGACCAGATAGTAGGTGATGTGAAAGACCTCAGTCTGAGACCCTGGAGATGGGCTGCTGGTCTGAGTGGACAATACTGACCTTGATGGACCAATGGTCTGATTTGGTATAAGCCAGGCTCATGCGTTATGTAACACCTATCCCCAGTGTTGATCCAAGAGCTCATGATCGCTCTAAGAACTTGCCCTGATATGCTGAGTATGACTTGGGACTCCTATGGTTTTTGTTCCATTCTCTTGACATTTCAGGAATAGGAGGCAGAACATGGGAAAGGCAGAAAGACACGGAGAAAGGATCTGAGGGTTGCCATCGATCACAAGCTGAGCATGGGTTAGCGGTATGATGCAGCTGCAAAGAAGGCTAATGTGATTTTAGGCTGCATTAACAGATGCGTGGCATCGAAGTCACAAGGAGTAATAGTTCCACTCCAGGCTAGTCAGATCTCAACCGTTTCCATTTCTGAATGCCACAATTTAAGAAGGATATAGATAAAATGGAATGTTTCAGAAAAAGTTAACGAAGTGGGTTGGGAGAGTCCAGAAAACAAGTCCTACAGGGAAAAGTTGAAGGCACTGGGTGTGTTTAGCCTGGAGAAGGGAAGATTAGGGGATACCTGGTGATGATGAAGGGCTATCACAAAGAGAGCAAAGGCTGGAACTCACCACCACCCACGTGCACTGCTTACACAAAGCATGCAGTCATGGCTCAGTGTTAGAATACCAGTGCTACGTACAGAATGTCCCAGGCTCTGTCTTTCTCATTTCCAGAAGAGACTTGGGATATTTTCACAATTGAACTGACATTGCCCTGACCTGGATAGCCTGATCTTGTTCCATCTTGGAAGCTAAGCAGGGTCGACTCTGGCAAGTACTTGGATGGGAGACCTTGAAATACCAGAGGTGGGAGGTGGGGGCAGGCCTCATTCAGCCACCTCTCTGAATACCCTCCAGGTACGGTTGCCAGTTCTGGGTTGGGAAATACCTGGAGATTTTAGAGGTGGAGCCTCAGGAGAGTGGAATTTGGGGCATAATGCCATAGAGTCCAACTTCTAAAGCAGCCATTTTCTCCAGAGGAACTGATCTCTGTCGTCTGGAAATCAGTTGTAATAGTGGGAGGTCTCCAGGTACCACCTGGAGGTTGGCAACCCTACCTCCAGGCCCCCAATAGGGGTCCGTCACCAGAAGTTGCCATGACTTCCAGGTGCAGACACACTCTCTCACACACATAAAAACCAGACAAACACACACAAAAAACAATTGAACTGACATTGTCAACTAGTGGTGGCTCTTGAAGCCTCAGACACCTTTCCCCATCTTGCCCCCTGCAGTCCGAGCTCAGGATTCCACTTGAAGCCCTCCCAGACTTTTATATTTATATTTAATTTTATCAGCCTGTTTGATTATCATGTGCTCATAACTGCTGTATGAACTTAAGACAGATGTGAAGGCACTGCCTTTTTATAGTTTTTACAATGGCATGAGCTTGGGGGTACTCACTGGCTTTGAGACCTCCAGCCAGAACATATTTTCATCCCCCCTCACATGTTGCATTTATCTCCTCCTGTTCTGACTCACCCTCAGACAGCTCTGAACATGCTCACCAGATGCCAGTCTTTGGAGTACAAGCAGTTTGGGGTTCTGTGCCTGTCCATTCACCCTGGCTGGGTGAAAACCTCCATGGGAACACTGCTGGTAAGTGACTGTGTTGGGGGAGGGGTAATCAGGGTACTTGGGCAGTTCTTCCTTTCTTCCTCCAAGGAATGGGTCTGGTCTGTAGGATCCTTTTGCTCTGAAGTGGCAGCAGATGGTGTTCATAGCAAGGTGGTTCTCAGAGGCAGGAAGATCTGTGCCTGCACAGAAGATGCCAGAGGCTGGGCAAAACAACTAGTCCAGTCCTCCAAAATTCTTCACCAGAACTCACCTTGCAAGCTGCACACACACCTGGGACCACACACATGCTTGCACGCACACCTGTGTTTACCACCTGTAAGTGGCCATCAAACCTCTACCTCCAGGGTAAAGTGGCAAGGAGTCAAACCAATCTGCACCCACTGTTCATTGACAATTAAAAAAAGGGAATGAAATCCATAACGACCCAAAAAGAGGCTTTTTAAGTTAAATGTTCTTTTTCCAGCTGTTATGACTGTAATTTTCCTTGAAAACGAATACGTGATAATATTTGTTGTTGTTATTCAGTCGCACAGTCGAGTCCGACTCTTCGCGACCCCATGGACCAGCTCCCGACAGGCCCTCCTGTCTTCCGCCGTCCTCTGAAGTTTGCTCAATTTCATGTTCGTTGCATCTATGACACTGTCTAACTATCTCATCCTTTGCCGTCCCCGTCTTCTTTGACCTTCAATCTTTCCCAGCATCAGGGTCTTCTCCAGTGAGTGCTCGCTTCTCATTTGGTGGCCAAAGTATTTGAGCTTCAGTTTCATTATCTGGCCTTCCAGGGAACAGTCAGGGTTGATTTCTTTTAGGATTGACTGATTTGATCTTCTTGCAGTCCAAGGGACTCTCAAGAGTCTTCTCCAGCACCATAGTTCAAAAGAATCTATTCTTCGGCACTCGGCCTTCCTTATAGTCCAACTCTCGCAGCCATACATGACTACTGAAAGACTATTGAAAGAGGTAGTCAATCTTTAAAGGTACAATTGTGGTCTTAGGGTACTGTCTCAGTGATGATCTGGTTCTTATAGATCCACATGGGTCAATGCAGGGGTAATTCATGAGGACAACCAGATGGATTTCACCTAGAGAACTGGTGTTGAGTAGTGATGGGCATGAACTGGGAAAATGTGGTATGGTTCATGGTATGCCAGCTTCATGAACCATGAAACATCACAAATAAACCAGTTTCATTTGTGAGGTTTGTGACATGGTAGAACACCCCTCAGCATGATAGAGACACCAAACTCACAAGGGATATCCGGCTAACCCACCTCTACCTACATGCCAAGGTTGGTGAGGATTGAATTTATGGGGTTCGAGTTATGGCTCCCCCAAAGAAGGTGTCCCCAGGAAAGCATTTTCTGGGGAAATGACAAGCACAGGTTCATGAGGGTCAGGATTGTATAGAATGGATCCTGTGCAAATTAAAGATGCCAAACATGCAAGAGATCTCCAGATGACTCTCCTCTACTTGCCCTCCAAGTTTGATGAGGATTGGATTTATGGGGTCCAAGTTACAGCCCCCCAAAGAAGGTGCTCCTATGGAGGGAAAAACAGCAAAAAAGCAAGGACAACAGAAGCCATGCAGAACAGAATCGAAGTCCCAGAGAATCTCTGCAGTAGAAACTGAAGGTTGGAGGCATTTTTGCAAGCCCAGCAGAACCAGTGCAATGTGCCCAGCAGAACTAGTGCCACTGTGGCACTGTGAACCCAACAGGACTAAGGTCAAGTCAGGGAAGTGTTTTTTGGGGGGACATGTCAGACACAGGTTCAAAAGTATATAGAATGGACCCCCTGCAAGTTACACACACCAAATGCACAGGGAACCTCACCCTGCCACCTGCTCTTTTACAATCTCTTCAAGTTGGGGGTGGATTACATTTCTGGCGTCCCAGTTACAGACTCCCCCAAAAAGTCTCTCCAATGCTCTTTCCAGAAAAGACAGCTGCAGTTACAGGAGTCTATGGAACAGCTCAGAAATAAGACAGCAAACTCACAGGGAAAGTTCACCTGGGCAGACCCCCCCATCAGACAGTGGAACCAAGGCAAGCATCCCCCCTATGCTTGCAACCCCC